CTGGCCCGTCCCGCCGCCAGCTGCGAGCCCGCCCCGTGCGCCCCGGGCCTTCCGGGCTCCGCTCGCCAACTGCCTGTCCCAGCCCGGCTGCCCCGCGCCACCCACGGGGGTGCTGGCTGCAGGAAGTGACGGGCGGGTCCGCGGCGCGAAGTCTCCTGTGGGCACGTTCGCCCGCCAGGAAGCGAGACGGCAGGGCGCCCGGGAAGACGTTCAAGGTTGAACTCTGCAGACATTGCCGATTCTGACTCCGTTGGACCGAGAGGGGAGGACCCCGAAGAGACTTGGATGGAAAATTCAAAAACTGTCCTCTATAAAGTGAAAGAGACCTGGGCTGATGGTGCACACCTGTAATCCCAGCACTCTGGAGGCTGAGGCAGGAAGATCACCACCAGTTCTAGATCAGTCTGGGCTACATAGTGAGTTCAAGGCCAGCCTGGACTACACAGGGAGACCCTGTCTTTAAAATTTCTTTTTTAAAATAAGAACATAAAGTGCCAGACACAGTTCTAAGGGCTGTGAGCTCACACACCGGGAATCTCACTCTTTTATTTTAATCGTAGTATATATCACACTATGAAATTATTTTGTTCACTTTCAGTTTGCCAGTTTACAGTCTACCTGCCCCACTCCAAATTTAAAACCCCAGGTATATAGGGGGTGGTCTCTGTTCTCCCCCCATGTGCCCAGTTCTGGGCCTATTCCTTGGGCACGTGGGAGATCTTGTTGCCCTGGCAACCCGGTGAGCTTTTCTCACACCCATTGCGCAGGAGAGGAAACAGAATTAGGGCCCAGCAAGGAGGAGGTAATGAGCTCCAGAGCTGGAATATGAATCTTCATGGCCTCAAAGGCTGTTGCTCCTTCTCCAGCCATGGTGGCCTGGTTCTGTGGGTGGATGTATCAGAGGCCAGTATTAAGCATCAGATACTCCAGCAGTTGTGTTCAAAAGCTAGAATGAAGAAAGAAAAGAGGCCTCTCTCATTTGCTTATGGGCTGCACTTCCACAGTCAGGGAGAAGTATTTCTCAGAAGCCCCCTTGCTGGGATTACACGTCTGGATCACATGACCACCCCTGGCTGCAAAGGAGTCTGGGACAGCAAAGGTCTGGCAGAGGAGATCGGCTCAGACCGTCATGGGCTGGAGCAGTCCAGTCCTAACATTCACAAACTCACAGAGAGTACGTACTGATCAATAAAACATGTCCTAACCTCCCTCCCCAACAGACACACTTTCAAAAACATCAGGAAGACCACCTTGAATTTAGAATCCTCCACCTCCTTGGAGTTCTGAGCCAGAACAGGACCCTGGATCCCTGTCCTTCTTCCTTCTCTTCCTATTATCATTCTATATTACTCATTCCATACCTTATGAAGCTGCAAATCCAGGCATGTGGGAGATCCATCCCATACGCCGGAGCCTCCCACAAACAGCTGCCTCTTGATTGCTCCTGGAATCAGCTGCACCCTGGGGAAATAAAGAAAAGTCTTACTCTTGCAGGCTACAGGTAGGCTGGGTGCTGTTTGACTGGAAACTTGGAGGTAATTGTACCCAGAATTCAGGCTCAAATTGGGCATCCTCTTAGCCTTACAGGCTCCATTGTGATGGGTATGACCAAAGGTGAGCCAGCATAGAGTCCTTTAAAGGATGACCCAGAGCAGGACTATTGGACATATCACTACACAAACAAAATTAAGTCTCGAGTTTAACTCTTGGTGTTCTGAAAATTCATAACACTGCTTTCAGGTAGAAGGTAGAAGCGCTGCTGAACAAGTAGCCCCCGCTGTCTGCCCCAGTATAAGCTCAGTGGGGCCACCACTCTTATGTTTTACCGACCCTTGTATCCCTAGGACCTAACTCAATGTCTGGTTTATGGTTGGTGTTCAATAAATATTTATTATTGAATAAATAAGTGAGTATAACTGTTAGTATGATCTGACCTTGTCCTGTATCACCATCACACAGGTATGATGCTATTGGAGACCAGAATCTAGTGGGGAAAGATGAAGGAGTTACCCTGGCATCCATGGCAGAGTAACAGCCCAAAACCTTTGGCACTTTCTCCCCTGGACTCCCACCTACCTCTAGTAGACACATCTAGACTGGCCCTCAGGGTCTGCCAGCAAGGATCTCCTGTTGTAATGTTTGAGTTTCTGGGCTACCCGGGAACTCTGAGCACACTTACATCATGTCCACCACATGCACAGTGGCCCTCCTGTAATAGTTGGCTTTCTTCACTGTGACCAAAACAATTGACAGCTTAAAGGAAGAAAAGTTTCTATTGGCTCATGGGTTCAGAGGTTTTAGTCCATGGCTGGCTGTCTTGGAGGCAGAAACATCATGGCCGAAGGGCACAGAAGAGGAAAGTTGTTTGACTCATGGAAACCAGAAAGAAGAGAGAGCAAGGAAGAGCCCCAGAGAAGAAGGGGCCAACAACCAGATAGTCTCCAAGGTCTGGCTCACATGACCCATTCAGATGTGCTTTAGTAGTTTCCTAGATACATGTCAAGCTAATCAAGTTGATAGTCAAGATCAACCTATCTGGCATAAAAACCCCTCAGAGTCAGTCCCTGCCACCATGACAAATTCCTGCTGAAAGGTCCATCCTCTGCCCCAAATATTCTGTTTGTTTTCCAGCCTCCTGGCTTTTCCTCATTGTTTCTGCTGCTGCAGTGCCCCATTCTCCCTGACTTCCAGAACAAACCCTTGCTCCAGGGCCTACCCAATCCGCTTGTCCCTCCCAAGCCTCGGTTATACTGTTCCTCAGGTCTTCCCTGTGGAGTCAGGTGCTCGTGTTCTGCCTCTAGGCGCTGTTCCATTTCACATTCAGCAGAAGATCCACTGGAATTCTTGGGGTAGCTCGCTCATTTAAAGAGAGCTGTATTATCATATATTAATTTATATTATATGTATTTGAAGAGAATTGGATACTAAAGGGTATGACAGGCATGCTCATGGACAGGCAGGACAGGAGTGACAGAGAGGCCTCACTTCAATTGGCAATTTGGAAATCTGGACCTGAGGCTGCTCTCTTTGCCTCTCAGAGGCCACACGGCCTCCCTCATGTCAGCCTTTTGGTGTAGGATTTATTAGTCTCTCTCGCATATGTCCAGACCCCGACCGTTGCTCTGCACATGGTTCTGTACTGACTTTCATTCCCCATATCCCTGTCACTGGACTTTAAAAGAAAAACTAAGAATAATCTGGGAGCCATAGGCTCTGATGCCAACTCCATCTACAAGCTGTTGAACATTTTGGGGAGAAATATACACAAAACGGGAGAAGAAAGTAGGAACCAGTCAGGGAAATCAATCAAGCTTGATGTTAAGACTGACATTGCTATATATCTGCCATAGGCTATGGGCAAGTCATTCAGCTGAACTTGAGGTGGTCCATCTGACTACCTCAGAAGCTCTGAGGCACAGAGCAAGCACAGGCCCAGGGCAGTGCTTTCCTGGTGTCCTAGGACTGCAACTGCAAGGTCCCACACCAATGGGAATGTATGTTCATACCCAGTCCCAGGATCTGAGATCAAGGTGTCACTAGGGTTGGCACCTGCTGGGGGCTGAGAGGCTGTTCCAGGCCTCTCTCCTGGTGTCTGGCACTCTCTGGCATTCTTTGGCTTATAGATAAGTCTCCCTGATCTCTGCCTTAATAGCGTGATAATCTCCCTGTGGGTTGTCAGATCATTTTCTTTCTCTACATGTCTGCCTGCGTCCGAATTCCCCTTTTCGTAAGAACAGCATTTATATTGAATTACAGCCCATCCTAATGACTTCCTTTGTAACTGGGTCACCTCTAGAAAATCCCACTTTGATATAAGGGTACCTTCTGAGGTACTGGAGGCCAGGAATCCAAGGAATCATTTTTTGGTGGGACACAATTCAACCCTTAACAGGTGCCCAGCACCTACAAGTCTTTCGTCCTAAGACTGAATACTTCTCCCAAGTCCTGGCCATCATGTTGAATAAATGAATGGATGGAGCCTACATTCTAGTGTTAGGAATTCATCAAAAAATTCTCTACTGACCCCAGAGACAACACCCCACTACTTTAATAAAGGGATTTCAAGAGAAGACACATAAGAAAAATGACTCTCATTTTTCTCTTGCCGGCTGGAGAGGGGATATGACTCGGTCAGCAGCTATCTGTCCCTCCCCTTTGCTTCCCTTTGTTCCCCTTCGCCTCCCAAAGGACTGGGACAGTTTGTTTCGGTGTCCTTCCTGGCAATCTAGTGGGGTTCCCCTCGGTTATCAGGCTGCCACTCCACCCCAAAACCCCAACAGGAGTGCAGCCAGATAAGCATGGCGCCCTTCCCCATTCCTGCCACTTCAGACAGCATGGTTGGCTTTCTGAAGGGAGGAGGCTAAGGTCAGGAAGGGAGGGATCTGGACCTCTTCTTTGCATACCCAACATTCACAGCAAGCCTTCCAGAAGATTCCCTGGTTTCAGCCCTGCCTCTAACTGACACAGGCCCGCAGCACTCCTCAGCCACTTCTCAGGTTAGTCTAGGAGGGCTCCCTCCCAGGTACTGACCACCCTGTGCTGTAGGACAGGTCTGTTCAGACAAAGGCTCACTTTACATTAGTGTTCCTGTAAACCTGCTTGTGATTTATTTCTTGGTAGTATGGGCCCCAAATGTTCTTTAAGTCTACTTGGGATTCTTAGGCACGACATGACAGACTGAGCGGTCTTTTCAAAAGAAAAAGTAATAAACACTAATAGCATAACCAGCATTGCAAAATCGAACTTTTTC